TAATTCAAACTGATGGACTGATAATGTGTGAGGTACATTTATTTACAAAGCACATTGTCAGACACAGAGGCAATTCAAAGTGCTTTACATCAACATTTAAACTTAAGAAGAAGACAACAGAAAGGAGCGCAATAAATAAACACAATGGAATAACACGTTCATAAAAACCAGGCATACAAGAGATACAGAATAGATTTAAAAACAACATTGTAAATACGAATAGGTGCTAAATTAAGATAAAAGACTTCTGGGTAAGCAGCTAAAAAAAGTAATGTTTTTAGCCTCGATTTGAAACAACTCGGCGTTGGTGAAGAAGACCTCAGGTTTTCTGGAGGTTTGTAAACAATGTGAAATGTGTCTCTGGCTGATCAGATAGTAAGGTGACATTCCCTGTTGATAACATGTTGATATTAATGTTGTGTTTTGTGTCTGTAGCTGCTGCTGCTGCACTATAAAGCCAACACTGACGCTCAGGACAACAACGGAAACACACCGCTGCACCTCGCCTGCATGTACGGCCACGAAGACGTGAGTAAACACTCCATTTGTTGTTGTTGTTGTTGTTTTCAGCCACGACCCTCCTATGTTTTTGTTTTCTTTAATTAATCTATGAATTAATTGTTTTAATATTTTTGTATGTATTATTGTTTTATTATTATGTTATTAAAACTATTATTTATTTTATTGATTCATTATTTTTCAACCCTCAATTATGAAGAATATTGTTATTTATTTATTAAATGTAAATAATATTTCGCACAGATTTAAACATCATCTTTTAAAATATAAAAATAAATCTGATTCTCAAGTTTTTTACGCTTTCCAACGTCCTCTTTTAACTTGTCTGGTAGCTTGGGTTGTTTTTCTCTACTCTAATAGACCATGTTGTGTGTGTGTCAGTGTGTGAAGGCGATGGTTTACTACGACGTGCAGACGTGCCGCCTGGAGCTTCAGAACGATAAAGGCGACACGGCGCTGCACATCGCGGCGCGTTGGGGCTACGAGGGGATCATCGTGGTGCTGCTGGAGAACGGAGCCAACACCGACGTCTTCAACAAGAGCCGAGACACGCCGCTGCACTGCGCTCTCAACCCCAAGGTCAGGAGAAACGTTTTTATTAGATGCTGAGATGTTGTATTTTGTATTTCTGTGTCGGACCCTGAAGGCAGCATCTCCCTGGTCCAATGGGATTTCTCCATGGGATTTAGATTATGTCAGAAAACAATCTCTGTGTCAAACAAACGTTTATAATACTGGCACGTTTAGTTCAGCAGGATAATCTCCACATATCAACACCACTTTATGATTTCTGAAGTAAAAAGCTAACAATAGGCTATAAAGGAACTACAGCACGGTCACATGACTTCACGTCACCACCGCTAAGCTAAAGGCGGCTAATGTTGGGCTATAAAGGAACTACAGCACGGTCACATGACTTCACGTCACCACCGCTAAGCTAAAGGTGGCTAATGTTGGGCTATAAAGGAACTACAGCACGGTCACATGACTTCACGGTCACATGACTTCACGTCACCACCGCTAAGCTAAAGGCGGCTAATGTTGGGCTATAAAGGAACTACAGCACGGTCACATGACTTCACGTCACCACCGCTAAGCTAAAGGTGGCTAATGTTGGGCTATAAAGGAACTACAGCACGGTCACATGACTTCACGGTCACATGACTTCACGTCACCACCGCTAAGCTAAAGGCGGCTAATGTTGGGCTATAAAGGAACTACAGCACGGTCACATGACTTCACGTCACCACCGCTAAGCTAAAGGCGGCTAATGTTGGGCTATAAAGGAACTACAGCACGGTCACATGACTTCACGTCACCACCGCTAAGCTAAAGGCGGCTAATGTTCAGCAGTGGGGTATTTACTGACGTATTTTATGTGTAGGACAAAAATCTCTTTAGCTTGTGTTAACCATAGACCTTATTTCAGGCTAACAACCAAAACCACTTTCTAAAACCATTGACTTCCAGACTAGGGCACAGAAAGTGCTAACATGCTGACTCATTCCCAGGTTTAAAGACTTATGAGGGTATTCAAAATAAAATAAAGGAACAGCCTAACGCTCTGTAATAAACAAACAAAATACATGTTTTATTTATATGCACTCATCACGTTAAACAGGGACCTAAACATTCTTCTTAATGTCATCAAGTTATCAACAGCCGGATCATTCTGTAATAAATCTCCCCACATTTGGAAATATATCATTTCAAAATGCTGGCGTTTCCACTGTGTGCAACCTCAAGGTCAGCAAGTGACAAACAGGGAACTAAATGTTCCTCTTAGTGTCATTAAGTCATCAACAGCGTGAATGTCATGTAATAAATCACCCTAAATGTAGAAATACATCGTTACGTATTGCAGTAGTTATTATACATCCTGAGAAATGTAAAGATATTAGTAATGCAGGATGAAACCCTCTTTATCTGTCCCATATGAACATGCACACAGCACAGCACACACAGTGAAATTGAAAGTACCAGTTCACTCTCCATATTAAAGGTCCCATGTCATGCTTTTCCGGTTATTCCCCGTCCCCTTGTGTTATGAAGGTTTTTATGCATGTAAATGGTCTGCAGAGTCAAAAACCCTCAAAGTACACCCTGTTGCGAGTAAAACTCTAACACAGAAAATACCTCCCCAAGCAGGAGCTCCAACAAGCCGTTTAGGACAGAGTGAATACACATACTATACAGAGATGCTGTGAGAAACCAATGTGAGTTTGGAACATTGAACAATGTAAATCTATTCTAGTAGACCTCAACAATGGAATTATGATCAGTAGAAATGGCCATGATGTGGGACCTTTAAGATCTGTTTGGGGACTTGAACCGGTGGCCCTTAGTATCCCAAGTCCCTACAGACTGAGCCACTGCCAGACATATATGAGGACAAAATAGACGGTTTAATTAATGTCCTCTTAACTCAAAGATCAGCAAGTTGCTAACTAACTACATGTTCATTTTAAAGTCATCTCAAAATCAATAAATACTTTTTTTTGTCGTATGTGAAGTTGAAAACATACTCTTTAAAACTGCTACGTGAGTGTAGCTTTGATGAAAATGGGATCTGACCCACAGAGAGATTTCATACGAGCTGCTGCAGATCATCAAAGGAAAAAAGAAATCGGAGAGAGTTCACTTTATCCAATCCGACATGTTTTCATGTTTCAGAGCTCTGACGTTTCTTTAATGTGTGTGTGTGTGTGTGTGTGTGTGTGTGTGTGTGTGTGTGTGTGTGTGTGTGTGTGTGTGTGTGTGTGTGTGTGTGTGTGTGTGTGTGTGTGTGTGTGTGTGTGTGTGTGTGTGTGTGTGTGTGTGTGTGTGTGTGTGTGTGTGTGTGTGTGTGTGTGTGTGTGTGTGTGTGTGTGTGTGTGTGTGTGTGTGTGTGTGTGTGTGTGTGTGTGTGTGTGTGTGTGTGTGTGTGTGTGTGTGTGTGTGTGTGTGTGTGTGTGTGTGTGTGTGTGTGTGTTCTTCTTGTAGATCCTGGTGTTGCTACAGTCGACTCGGAGCAGTCAGCGCAGCGGAGTCGATGTGAGTTTATTCGTCTCTGAACTTCTTTTTTTTACTCCACGGGGATAATGGAGTTTTTACTAAGGCTACTTTATTTAAGTAGCACATTTCAGACACAAAGGCAATTCAAAGTGCTTTACAAAGGCAGAAACACATCAGAGTTTGCAGCTTCGATTGAAAAGAACCCAGGGTTAGGTCGGACGTTAGATTCTCAGGAGGTTTGTTCCAGATCTGCGGAGCAAAGAAACTAAAACATTCCTCATAGATGTGGTGTTTGTATTTCAGTTCATTTAGAGCGCTACAAGTTGAAAGTAGTAGTAGTCTATCCTTTGAGTTATTGGAGCCAGTGCAGAGCTCTCAGACGATAGAAAACTCTTTAAATGTTCCTTCAAAAAGGGGAAAGACTTGTGTTGATCTGTATGTCCTCGTGTGTATTGATATATCCTCGTCTCCTCAGTCTCCCAGTCGCTCTCCTCTGGCTTCAGAATGCAGCAGCCGGCGATCCTCCGCCTCCAGCGAGTCCTCTCTGAACTCTGAAGTCAAACCGGAGGGAGAGAGAGTCCGACACCGAGAGGTAACACAACGTAACACAACGTCACACAACGTCACACAACGTCACACAACGTCACACAACGTCACACAACGTAACACATCGTCACACATGGTAACACAACGTCACACAACGTCACACAACGTCACACAACGTCACACAACGTAACACAACGTCACACATCGTCACACATGGTAACACAACGTCACACAACGTCACACAACGTCACACAACGTAACACAACGTCACACATCGTCACACATAGTAACACAACGTAACACAACGTAACACAACGTAACACATCGTCACACATGGTAACACAACGTCACACAACGTCACACAACGTAACACAACGTAACACAACGTCACACATCGTCACACATGGTAACACAACGTAACACAACGTAACACAACGTAACACATCGTCACACATGGTAACACAACGTCACACATCGTCACACATCGTAACACAGCGTCACACAACGTAACACAAGGTAACACAAGGTAACACAAAGTAACACAAGGTAACACAACGTAACACAACATCACACAATGTAAAACACCCACAAACTACAGGAAGATCCTTTAAACTGCCAATAGAGACTTTCTTATCTCAGAATCTAAGAAACAACAGGAGGTCCTGGTTGAAGAGGGGTTACACATACACTCAGGCTAAACCAGCTAAAAAGCCCCTCTGAAGGGAACTTTGGGATTTTAGCCTTTGCAGACCATTTACATGCACACAAATCTGACTGTGTGTATGTGTGTTGTTGACAGGTGGAGAAGCTGCTGCGTGCCATAGCAGACGGCGATGTGGAGATGGTGAGAAGTTAAAGCATGTTCTGCTTCTGAACATCCACATCTGGAAGAGTGGTCTCATTAATAACTGCTGTTTTCGTGTGTTTGTGTCAAGGTGCGTTACTTGTTGGAGTGGATGGATGAGGAAGAGGGTGATGAAGAGGATCTTCGGTCTGAGGTTCTGCTTTGCCATCCGCTGTGTCAGTGTCCAAACTGCGCTCCCACTCAGAAGGTAAGAGACCAACTCTGATGTGTTGAAAGTTAAACACGTAGATTTGGTGTTTCTATACCTAGGAACTACAGCACGGTCACATGACTTCACATCACCACCGCTAAGCTAAAGGTGGCTAATGTTGGGCTATAAAGGAACCACAGCACGGTCACATGACTTCACATCACCACCGCTAAGCTAAAGGTGGCTAATGTTGGGCTATAAAGGAACTACAGCACGGTCACATGACTTCACGTCACCACCGCTAAGCTAAAGGTGGCTAATGTTGGGCTATAAAGGAACTACAGCACGGTCACATGACTTCACGTCACCACCGCTAAGCTAAAGGTGGCTAATGTTGGGCTATAAAGGAACTACAGCGCGGTCACATGACTTCACATCACCACCGCTAAGCTAAAGGTGGCTAATGTTGGGCTATAAAGGAACTACAGCGCGGTCACATGACTTCACGTGACTGTGTTCGTTGTGATGGAAACTTTCTGAAGCAATGGAGACGAGACACGAGGAGAGCAGGAACTTTGATGGCAAACACTGATGGTTTATTTGGAGCTTTGGCCAGATAATTCACAAGACATGAGCTGAGCCACGAGGTGACCCAGCGGCTGCCAAACCAATTCTGAAGATCTCTACCCCAGACCCCTGTATTTAGCTAGTTCTGAGAGAAGAATCAACATGCTGCATAACAAGATAAACCATAACACCTCTATCAGCTGACGCCAACAGGCAAGAACAGGGAGACGAAACACAGAGAGCAGCCAGAGGTCACAGGCCTGAGCTCAGTGAGGGCAGACTGATAAACTGGGTCAAAGGTGGGGGCCTAGGACAATATTTCCCCAACATTCGTCTCTGTGTTCTTATTATAGAAACATGCATTTCCAAGCATTTGGACTACCTATGTTGTAAATGTATTATCTTTTCAATTTACACACGGCATCTATTGCACGTCTGTCCGTCCTGGGAGAGGGATCCCTCCTCTGTTGCTCTCCCTGAGGTTTCTCCCATGTTCCCCTTTAAACTGTGGGGTTTCTTTGGGGGTGTTTCCCTGTCTGATGTGAGGGTCCAAGGACAGAGGGTGTCGTATTGTCAAACTAATATTCTGTACAAATTGGAAAGTCCACTGAGACAAATGTAACATGTGTGATATTGGGCTATATAAATAAACATTGATTGATTGATTGTGTCCTCAGCTCTCTGTGCTGCAGGCCGGCTCTCTGGGGGTGAACAGCTGTAACGTGGACGGCTTCTCTCCTCTTCACGTCGCTGCGCTGCACGGACACGCGCCACTGCTCGCTCTGCTGATCCGACACGGAGCCAACGTCAACGCCAGAAACAACCACAGCGCCACGCCGCTACACCTGGCCGCCCAGAACAGCCACGTCCAGGTAGGAGGACGCAGAAAATCAGGGCTCCAAATATCGTGTTTTTAATGCTGGGTTCGACAGTTTGTCAAAGGGGCCTCGTGATTCAAAAATGCAAAGGCTTTACTGTCATGTGCACACGAAGTCTGAAGTCCCACACTCCTCAAACAATCCAAAATATACAATAACTTTAAAAAACGACATTAAATATTGCAAAAGACATAATGCATGACATGAGTCCTTGATGAAAATGTACTTTATTATTATTTCCTTTAATCTTTATGTTCAATTCAATTCAATTATTTTTAATATTTGCAACAAAAATAATAATCCCAACATTTATGATTTCGCTCCAATTTACTACGAGTTCAAATTAAAGGTCCAAGAATTTTTTGAGTGGGTTTTTATTTTGAAATAGACACCTGTGTAATAATCAGTGGAGTAAAGTAGACCAGTACTGAATGTACCCTCCTAGAAGAAGTTGATACCATTACAAGTTATTCTAGTTATTTTGAAAAACTAATAATGAATCCTGGATTGGATGCAGACCCTCTTGTGACACTGATATAAATATTAAATCAACCCTACTGAAAGAAGTTTATACTACTAAATGTATTGTTTCTTTTCATTTTTTAAACCTAAAACTAAAGCTTTTTGATGCAGAATCAGAACCTGAGCAGCAGGTTTCCTGTTGGCAGTGCTGTGTTACACACTTTGCTCCCTGGTAATAATACACTTTCTGCAGCGGGCTGTTATATAGAAGTGAGTCAACAGCAGCCCTGATGTGTATCAAGTTTCTGGCCGTTTCTCAATGTCGAGTAGAGCTGCTGCAGAGCCACTATTTCAAGTATACTACATCATCGAGTGGCGCCGAAGGACTGTTTAAATGCCCAGCATTCGGCGCCACTTGATGACGTAGTATGCTTGAAATAGTGGCTCTGCAGCAGCTTTACTCGACATTGAGGCCCAATCCCAAACCGCCCCCTACACACTACACCTACACACTACACCTCCGTTTGCGCGTTCGCGCGGAGGGTCCGCCACATTAAGTGCTGTTCCAAACCAACGAGTGTGGAGCGGGGTGGAGGGGGAGTGGGCTATCAAGCCCTCAAACAGCGAGTCTGCATCGGTGCTGACTGGAGACCGGTCTCTACCTGACCGGAGTCACGCTGTGTGTGTCCGTCAGGAAACACGCTGTTAAAAAGTAGTTCCAGCAAACATCCACTGATAAATTGCGATGTTAACAACCTCATGATAACCTCATATTTTTTTAACTTAGGATCATACCTGTGTTTAGTCTAGAAAAAGGTAAATGTGTGCATTTTATTATAAAGTTGTGTATATTTACAGACTGTTGCAAAAACTAAGAAGCTTATAAACATCAGGTTTAAAACTAAAAGAGCTTTACAAAAAAGTAACACAATGAAAGATGTTTGGAGTTTTATTTGAGTTATTAATTTACATTTTTTGTCTAAGAGATGCTGATTTGAAACCGTTGTTACATACAGTTACGGCATTTCCTGTTTCTGCCGGAGAGAGGGGAGTTTGTCCCAAAGCTTGCCGCTGTATTTACTCCCTCCATCTGACAGGAAGGAGCCTCATTCAGCTGCGAGTGTGGCTACAGACGGAGTTCACTCCGCCACGGAGGGGTAGGGTCGAGGGAGTGGTTTGGGATTGGGCCTGAGAAACGTGTGCTGCGTTTATTCAGCCACTCACTGGCACCATCTTATGGCAGAAAGACACCAGTGCAATAAAAATGAAATGCATTTAATACCTTTTTATTTTCTCTGATCACAAAATAATGAATAATAACTATTTAAAATAAATTATAATAATGAATGATAATAATTAAAAATAAATAATAATAATAATTTTAAATACCTGATAAATAATTAAGAATAATGATTATAATAATTGAAAATAAATAATAGTAAATATTATTATTATTAAAAATAATGTAAACAAATAATAATTAGGATCATTTAAAATACATTTATAATAAACACAACAATTATAATAGTACATTATATTTGTATGGCATGTAAAGACCCTTTACCTGAACAAGTAAAAAATACCATAGAGAGAGAAATAAGATTTTTGTCTGCATTCAAAAATATATATATTTTATTGCGTACATATTTTGGTTCATTGTATGTCCAGCTGTTTACAGTTTCATCGTGTTTTGTTTTTTAGTCTTTTTGAAATGCGTGACTTCCTGTTTCAGGTGATGAGGTTCCTGTTGGAGTGCAACGCCAAACTGAACAAGAAGGATCACTATGGAAACACGCCGCTCATCCAGGCCTGTCTGTGTGGGAACCTGGAGACCGCCAGCACCTTGTTACAGGTACACACAGATTGTTATGTATATACATCTTTCACATCTTTTTTCATTAAGTCTTCAGACATTTTTTCCACATTTTAGACGTAATTTTCTTAAGTTTTTTCGGGTATTGTCAGACGTTATTTGCAGTTGGCTAGCTTAATCTGCAGAGGAACACACACACTCTAAACGCACCTGAACATACTCTGAACACACTCCACAGGAGAGACACCAGACGGAAGACACAAACACACACACACACTGAACACACCTGAACGCTCCTGAACTCACTCTGAACGCTCCTGAACACACACTGAACGTACCTGAACACACTCTGAACGCTCCTGAACACACTCTGAACGCTCCTGAACACACACTGAACGTACCTGAACACACTCCACAGGAGAGAAACCAGACGAAAGAAACACACTGAGAGAACTCTTGCATCATATTCCAGAAATCACCCTCTCTCTCTGTGTGTGTGTGTGTGTGTGTGTGTGTGTGTGTGTGTGTGTGTGTGTGTGTGTGTGTGTGTGTGTGTGTGTGTGTGTGTGTGTGTGTGTGTGTGTGTGTGTGTGTGTGTGTGTGTGTGTGTGTGTGTGTGTGTGTGTGTGTGTGTGTGTGTGTGTGTGTGTGTGTGTGTGTGTGTGTGTGTGTGTGTGTGTGTGTGTGTAGAGCGATGCGTTGGTGAACGTGGTGAACCAGCAGGGGAACACGGCGCTGCACGAGGCGGTGCGGGGGGGGCAGCAGGCGCTGGTGGAGCTGCTGCTGAGGGGGGGGGCGGCGCCGGACCTCAAGAACAAGAGGCAGAGGACAGCGCTGGAATGCGCCTACGAGCTGGGAGGCAAGGTGACTGTACACACACACACACACACACACACACATACACACACACACACACACACACACACACACACACACACACACACACACACACACTGTAGGGACATTAAAAAAAAATCTGGTATTTTTTGAAGATTTTTCTGGTATTTTTACGACTTTAATTACTAATAGTTTGTAATTGGAGTGTTTTCAGCACTTTTCTGCTGTTATTAAGGTCGTGCTCGTTGTAAATCCTTTTCTTAAAGATCATCACATGTTTGTTTTTTTCCTGTGTGCATTATTCCAAAAAAAAAGTTATATGAAATGTTTTCACATAAATTTCACATGTTTTTTTCACATATTTAGACTTTTATCGTACATTTTTACTTTTAGCTCAAATGCCGAAAATGTGTTTTTTACCTTTAATAAAATACACTATAGGCTTATTTTATATATCTGAAATTCCCACTTCCTATCAATCAAGCTGAAGACTTTTCTGTTTGCCTTTTTATTCAATCAAATATAACTATTGTATGATTCATATCTTAAACCTGTCTTATTACTTCTTAGCTTCGTTCTATTGACATTTTCTTGTTTTTTTGATAATATGAGGTTATTAAAAGTCAGACAATAGAATGTTTAGTCATTCCAAAACACTAGGTTAATAACTTTAATATGATATAAATAGAGAAAACTTCATAACAAAACATATTTGGTGATTCACTTTCAGCCCTCGTAAAGATGTTAGTAACTTTCATCTAACTTTTTTAACATCTTCGTCCTTCAGAACACGGAGATCCTGAGAGCTCTGCAGCAAGCGTCCGGACTTTCTCCCGACGCTGAGCCAATCAAACTCCTCTCTGTGCCCAAAGGCGCTCTGGGTAATTAATATCAGCATTGCATCAATAGCGTTGTACACGTCCAAAAGAAAATAACTTTTACTTTAAGCTTTGCACCAAAATGCTGACAACATACTGAATTCCTGATTTGTTCCAGCTTGTTAATAGAAGTATCTGAAGTGTCTCTCCGTACATTTCCAGCCAAACTGTTTCATTTAAAGTCTGTTATTATTATTATTTAGGATTTCATTTCTCGTTGTCTCTGCAGCTCATTCCTTCGTGCAGCGTCTGCGTCTTCATGATCACGCAAACGGCCGGAGACAGAAACTAGCTCAGTCCATCAGCAGGTAGCTCTAAAAGATCAGATAATCCAACTATTAGAAAAAAGATTGAGTTGGAGTCATTTTAATATCTGTGCTTTGTTTCAGGATGAATCAGATGAAGAAAGGATCGTCCAGGTGTTCACCGAACCTCAACCAGGTACATTTCAGTTTATTTTTACTGTTGTAATCACTCACTACATGCCACACCAACATGACTGGTTTCACGGGTAAAACAAAACAATGGAATGCATGATATAGAGAGGTGCAGTGACGCGTCCTAAAACCCTGAAGGAAGCTGCTGGTTCCCTCGACAAAAAAGCAACAGGATTTCTCCAGAGGATTTAGGAAAAGAGCTGAAAATAATGTCTGTGGAAAACTAACCTGTTTGATGAATGCACGTTTTGTTCAGCCGGATCATCTCCACATGTCTACCCTACTTTTATAATGTTTGAATCATAAATCTAATCTCCAGAAGCAAAATGCTAACGTGATGCTATAAAGGAACTACAGCCGAGTCCAGCAGCACGACTTCAACGTCACGCCAACTTCAGATCCATATTCAAACAAACAGATTCTAAATGGAACGAGTTGAAGCGTTTGTTTGAACAGTTTGCAGGAGGCAGGTACTTGCTCTCAAGCAGAACAGGGCTAACAAACTTAGAGGAGTGTTTACGTGTTCGGCGTAATGACGTACAACGTCCTCCACAACTTCTGTAGTCCTATTCAGCCACTTGGTAACAACCATAGTTTTTCAGACACGTCAACTCTTCAGAAATCACCAGTGGGGTCACTGCTGATGGATTTAATGTCCTAGAACAAAACGTGATCCGTCTCTTCAATGTGTCTCAACCACAGATCTTATTTCAGGCTATTTTCCTAAATCCTATGGAGAAATCCCATTGGCTCTGAGACGAGGGAACAGGAAGTGGTGACATGCTGACTCACTTCCTGGTTTTAGGACGCGTCACTGCACCTCTCTATTGGCTATATGAAAAAGAAAATGTAAGGAACATTAAAGTGTTACAAATGTTATTTCTAACTGTTTAAATCATTTATACAAAAGAGAAAATGGATAAACATGATTAATTTATTCTTGTCTCAACACAATCCAAATCTATTCAATTTAAATAAAATTTAAATAAATTTTAAAAAGCACACAGTTTGAGATTAGATAATGAAGCTGCCTCTTATCGTCACTGTATTTCTGGTAGAAAATCAGAGTTAAAACACATGTGTGGGGCCGACCAATGAAGCTAATAACTCTTATTTAAACAATTTATTCCTTATGTTTCCAGATAACATATAAAAAATAGAAATGTGTGCTTTTTCCACATGTGTTGAGCACTTTCCACTGTGTTTTCCTCAATCTTTGTTGAACGTTTGATGCTGTCTTACTCCCGGTTTTATAGTCTGATTTGGATTTTCCTTCCTCAGGAGAGTCCGGAGAGGAGGAGGCTGAGGAGGGGGGAGACCCTGGAGGTCAGCAGCCCCTCAGAAAGCCTCGATCGTGGGGCTCGGATCAGGGAGAGGCCCCTGGGTCGCTGGCACACCCTGGACTCAGGAGAACACACAGAAGAACACACAGAAGAACACACACACACTCTGAACGCTCCAGAACACACTCTGAACGCTTCAGAACACACTCAGAACGCTTCAGAACACACTCAGAACGCTCCAGAACACACTCAGAACGCTTCAGAACACACTCAGAACGCTCCAGAACACACTCAGAACGCTCCAGAACACACTCAGAACGCTCCAGAACACACTCTGAACGCTCCCGAACACACTCAGAACGCTTCAGAACACACTCAGAACGCTCCTGAACACACTCAGAACGCTCCAGAACACACTCTGAACGCTCCAGAACACACTCTGAACGCTCCAGAACACACTCTGAACGCTCCAGAACACACTCAGAACGCTCCAGAACACACTCAGAACGCTCCAGAACACACTCAGAACGCTCCAGAACACACTCAGAACGCTCCAGAACACACTCAGAACGCTCCAGAACACACTCAGAACGCTTCAGAACACACTCAGAACGCTCCAGAACACACTCTGAACGCTCCAGAACACACTCTGAACGCTCCAGAACACACTCAGAACGCTCCAGAACACACTCTGAACGCTCCTGAACACACTCAGAACGCTCCTGAACACACTCAGAACGCTTCAGAACACACTCAGAACGCTTCAGAACACACTCTGAACGCTCCTGAACACACTCTGAACGCTCCAGAACACACTCTGAACGCTCCTGAACACACTCTGAACGCTTCAGAACACACTCCGAACGCTCCTGAACACACTCTGAACGCTTCAGAACACACTCTGAACGCTCCTGAACACACTCTGAACGCTCCAGAACACACTCTGAACGCTCCTGAACACACTCTGAACGCTTCAGAACACACTCTGAACGCTTCAGAACACACTCTGAACGCTCCTGAACACACTCTGAACGCTCCAGAACACACTCAGAACGCTTCAGAACACACTCTGAACGCTCCTGAACACACTCAGAACGCTCCTGAACACACTCTGAACGCTCCTGAACACACTCTGAACGCTCCAGAACACACTCAGAACGCTTCAGAACACACTCTGAACGCTCCTGAACACACTCAGAACGCTCCTGAACACACTCTGAACGCTCCTGAACACACTCTGAACACTCCAGAACACACTCAGAACGCTTCAGAACACACTCTGAACGCTCCTGAACACACTCAGAACGCTCCTGAACACACTCAGAACGCTCCTGAACACACTCTGAATGCTCCTGACGCTCCTGAACACACTCGGAACGCTCCTGAACACACTCAGAACGCTCCTGAACACACTCTGAATGCTCCTGACGCTCCTGAACACACTCTGAACGCTCCTGAACACACTCAGAACGCTCCTGAACACACTCAGAACGCTCCTGAACACACTCCACAGGACAGACACCAGACAGAAGACACACACACCGAGGACACTGACGTCTGCAGCGTCAGCAGTGAGAACTCTTCTGAAAACCCCCCTACACACACTTCATCTACACACACCTTATCTGTACCCCCTCCCACAAACACATCTCCTACACAAACCTCACCTGTATCTCACACATCTCCTACACACACCTCATCAGAAAACCCTCCTACACACACATCTCCTACATACACCTCATCAGAAAACCCTCCTACACACACTTCATCTACACACACCTCATCAGAAAACCCTCCTACACACACTTCATCTACACACACCTCATCAGAAAACCCTCCTACACACACCTCATCTGTATCTCCTACACACACCTCACCAGAAAACCCTCCTACACACACCTCATCTCCAACACACACTGTATCTACACACACCTCATCAACACACACCTTATCTGAATCTCCTCCCACACACACCTCAAACACTTCTCCTGACCCCACAGAGGATTCTCACCCCACCAGTCTCCACCCTCTAAATGGAGAGTTGGAGTCATGTGACGACCAAAGTCCGTCAGGAAAAGAGGGCGGGGCTTCCTCTCCCACCTCCATCCCGACCAATGGAGGAGGAGAGTCAGGTCGTTGAGGTTGGGAATGAAAAGGATATGCAGAAGCCCTGAGGCGAACGAGGAAATACAAATTATGGGAGTTTTTTTTTGTTTTCAATCCTGGTCTAAAATTTTCTCTCCTGTGTTTATGACTTAAAAACAGGTGAAAAATAAAAGTATTTGCCAGGATTATCTCCTTAAAATTATCTTTAAATAATCAAAATAGTGCTTTATTAATTAAATGTAGTCGTATTATTATAAATGAAAGATATATTATTATTTTTTATTAATAATTACTATTGTTTAGAAGAATTACATAGCGATAATATTGCTTTATTTAATAATAATAAAGCATTATTTTAAATGTTTAAAGCGCTTGTTGTAATACTCACTTTGGCCACCAGAGGCTCCGATTCTGCACAACACTACCAGCTGATTAACGCGGATTAAAATACATTTCTAGCCAAAAATAAGTATTATAACTTGATTTGCAATAGCCTATTATATATACCAGTACTTGGAGAAACTAAAACATCATAAATCCTTTTCATATTCAGAACGTAGGGTAGTGAGCGCACCTATCAACCTCTTGAGGCCAAAAACAGTATTACAACAGCAAACTCCTAAACTAAAAAATTATGAATCACCTTCCAAAACTTATTTTTCCCCGGTTTTCAACATTTCTTTTAGATAAATGATCTCGGCAAAAGCTTTTCCTGGCAAAAAAACTTTATTTTTAACCCTTTAAATCAGAAATACATGAGAAAACCTTCTGGATCAGACTTTAGAAAATGGATCGAGGATGAAGCTGCCTCTTATAGTCGCTGTATCTCCGGTAGAAAACCACTGACTTTTGATGCTTATGACTGTATTTTAACCCATTTGATTCCAACATGTTTGTGTAACTGATCCTGCATTCGGGTTTTTCAAGTTTCTGCAGAAATGCAATTAGATCTGGTTGGTCTTATCCACCAGCCGGGGTGAAGTCCTCCACTTCTCTTCTCTTGAGTTTGAAGCACTTTCTTGGCTTCACAAAATAAGTAAAAGGGATGCAAACGGACATGGAAACGGTTTGCTTTAGAGTTCAGCCGTTAGCTGAGCTCTGTGAGACTTTAGTGGGAAAACATGTAGTTTTACTTGAATTTTTCAGTGTTCAAATGTTGGTTTGTTTGTTATTTTTCCCCGTTTAACATCCAACTTATATTTTTATTAGGATTCTTTTAATTTATTTATGACCCCTTGTTGATGTGGCGTGTGTTCAGAGAGGTAGATTCTTTTCCTGAATGTCAGAAATGTGTGTTTTCTGCTCAGATATAGTTCAGGTTAAAGGATCACACTGCTGGTTTTTAATGTTTTATATCCCATTAAATACATTATATTTTTTTGCATCAATGCTACTATATTATTTATAAAATCATACTGAAATATTTTTGGGTTAATTCCCTTTTTTTACAATAAAAATCTTACTTTGATTTGAAAAATGCTGCCGATTTCTTTAGTTATTTTCATATAAATATATTCATTTATTTATTTCACCAGAAACCTGTCAGTGAGAACTCTTCTGAAACCTCCCCACACACACTTCATCTACTAAAGCCCCTCCTACACACACTTCATCTGAACCTCTTCCTACACACACTTCATCTGAAAACCCTCCCACACACACTTCTCCTACACACACCTCACCTGTATCTCCTACACACACACTTCATCTACACACACCTCACCTGAAAACCCTCCTACACACACTTCCTCTACACACACTTCCTCTACACACACTTCATCTGAACCCCTTCCTACACACACTTCATCTGAAAACCCTCCCACACACACTTCTCCTACACATACCTCACCTGTATCTCCTACAGACACTTCCTCTACACACACCTTATCTGAACCCCTTCCCACACACACTTTATCTACACACACTTCATCCGAACCTCTTCCTACACACACTTCATCTGAAAACCCTCCTGCAGACACTTCATCTACACACACCTCATCTACTGAAGCCCCTCCTGCACACACCTCTTCTGAATCTCCTCTTACACACAACTCGTCTACAGACCCTCCTACACACACTTCTCCTACACACACCTCATCTACACACACCTTATCTGAACCCCTTCCCACACACACTTCTCCTACACACACCTCACCTGTATCTCCTACACACACCTCATCGACACACACCTCATCTGAAAACCCTCCTACACACACTTCATCTCCTACACACACTTCTCCTACACACACTTCATCTCCTACACACACTTCATCTCCTACACACACTTCTCCTACACACACCTCACCTGTACCTCCTACACACACTTCATCTCCTACACACACTTCTCCTACACACACCTCACCTGTATCTCCTACACACACTTCATCTCCTACACACACTTCTCCTACACACACCTCACCTGTATCTCCTACACACACCTCACCTGTATCTCCTACACACACCTCATCTCCTACACACACTTCATCTCCTACACACACTTCATCTCCTACACACACTTCATCTCCTACACACACTTCATCTCCTACACACACTTCATCTACACCCGAGTATTTAATGAGCCTTCAGTTTGGTCCTTTAACATGAGATATTCAGTGCATTACAACTGAATGAAGCGTCTGCAGTTCTTCAGGAACGTCTCCGTCAGTGTTACTGTTCATAATGTCACATGTTCACCTCTCAGAGTTCATGTTATTTGTTTCGGTGAAGCTTCAGACTCGATGTGTTTCGTCCATTTTGTGTCCACTCCATTGTTTTTCACTTTAACATGAAAGGATGTCAAAGCCGCTAAACTGCAGAAGTCGAGCCTTAATTATTTTTGTACCACTGGTTTTATTTTTAAGGTTTTGGATGTTTTTTTAAATGATGTGAATGTGCCTTATTTAATTCACACCTTGATAATACATATAATAAATCATTGAGACTAATTTAATGATGAGATTAATGTTTTTGTTCCGGTTTAACAGTATTTCATTTAATCGTTTATTTGAAGAGGGACAGTGCACATCGATGAACACTTTAAAACAAAACAATGCTTACAGGGGGGGGGGGCAGTCCATGTAAACATTTATAAATAAAACACATACTTTTAAAAGACTTAAAATGGTCAAAACTCAAGAAATTGTGTTTTTCAAGGATGGTACCGTGGTGGTATGAATTAGGCTTTCTGTCAAACACCTTGATAGCTCTCTTTTTAATGAAAACATTGGCATGGCTTTTAATTGATAAAAGCAAATGAATAACAAACAATAGAACTTGTACAGGTCACCTTTATATCTGAGACCTATGATATGTTGTTGAAAATGAGTATAAAAGGACCAATATGTTTCCCACTGAGTGTATATGAGAGTATTTAATCACATGAGAGATTATCATATTGAATTTGAAACGAGTGAACATTCAGCTAAATGTTCTTAATCCCAGTGCTTGATAGGATGCGACTGCAGTGAAGTAAACACACCAGTTTGCCTCGTTGTGCTGGTTCAGAGCTGACCACTGATCAGTTATCGGGTTACAGCCCATAGTTACAGAGCTTGTTTCTCAGCTTCAGAGGAGTGTCCACATTCTCCGGCTGGTTCGAGCCTCTTCTGTCAAACCACACACTCGCTGTGAGACAGTGGCGAACCGTGTCTATCACAACTGGACCTTCTGTAGAAACACACCCCCCAGTTAATGGGAGAAATACGATACGATGGGATAATACTTTAATGGTCAGATCAAGTCTGAAATGCTCCTTGCATCACAGCAGCTCCATGTGTAACATCAACAGACAAACATCAGGACACAATACATGAGAAACAAACAACAAACATGTAACATAGCAGCAGGATCAGTGAGAGATGCTCAACGAGCCTTCAGCGTGCATCTGATCTGTAGCTCTGTGTTCACTGAGAGGACCGACTGGAGCACAAAGGATGCTTCAGTCTGACTCTATTGAATCGAGGGACCCTGTATCTCACATTAGATCAGGGGTGTCAAACTCAATTTCATCGCGGGCCACATTCGCATAAAGGTTGCACTCAAAGGGCCGGTTGTAACTATATAAATATATAATATATATATAAAATAATGTATTATATTACATTATTGCCTCTGAATTTGATTATTAATTAGTAAATAGTAATTAACTACGTCTGAAAGCAGAAGTCCAGGGCAAGTAATTGCAAGTCTCTTCAGTGCGCATGTCACAAAACGAGATGCATTCTGGGACATGTAGTTTATGGGCAACCTGCTTCTGTAAAGTGGCATGTAACCGTATAATAAACGTATTATATTCTTTGCAAGCTCTTAAGGGGCCACATAAAATGAAGTTGCGGGCCGGATTTGGACCCCGGGCCTTGAGTTTGAGACCCCTGCATTAGATGGTAGCAGGATAGGATCCGGGACTCAGGATCCAGAACTCAGGATCCAGAACTCAGGATCCAGGACTCAGGATCCAGGACTCAGGATCCACGACTCAGGATCCAGGACTCAGGATCCAGAACTCAGGATCCAGGACTCAGGATCCAGAACTCAGGATCCACGACTCAGGATCCAGAACTCAGGATCCAGGACTCAGGATCCAGGACTCAGGATCCAGAACTCAGGATCCAGGCGTAGACATTCACAAAAAACACATTTCGGGGGAAGCTGGGTTATTCGAACCATGAGAGTAAACAGGTACAGAGAGAGAGAAGAAAGAAGTAAGGTGTCCCCGACAGTCTAAGACTATAGAAGGAAGAATAAGGGGCTGATGATGATGATGATGATGATGATGTCCTATAAGCTTTATTGGGACAGTAGGATAATGAGATATTTAAGATAAGATGTCGCCTGCCCATTGAAGGATTTGTACGCAAGAAGAAGCATTTGTAATGATATCCTGTGTGTTATAGGGAACCAGTGCAAAGCAGCCAAAACAGGAGGAATGTGGCAACTTCAGATATTTTCAAACTTGACTTCCTCTTAACAGTGGGTATAAATAAAGTCAGTTTTGCAGATGAGTCATACAAACTAGCTGCAACACGAGGGTCCTGAAAGGGGGGGCTGTTCATACTCTGCATTATGACAATAAGCCAATACACGGCACATCAAACAGGATATGTACTTAGTAAGTAAGAGGACATGGACTTCATGAACACACAACATTAAACTGTGCAACAACAAGCTGTCCATTCACCATCCTCTCCTCTCCTGCTGCTGCAGGGACTGAGGAAGCAGACGTTGTTGTGCAGCTCTCACTTTACTCCACTAGATGTCAATGCTGGCCTTTCCAACACAAAGAGCTTTAACCCACGTGTTGTGCAATCAAAGAGGACCTGAGATTTGACTCCATTAAGACTAGAGATGACGCTTTGAAGATAAACTATTACGGTTTTAAGTCCTACCTGATAAAGTCCTAGCATAATGCAAAGTGTAAAGACAATGACAAGCATGACTTGAATATTTAATCGTCCATAATTTGCATTTAAAGGACTTGATCTCAGATATATGCACAGTAAATATAATAAAAAAGAACAGATTTACCATGAATTCATGCCAGCCCTGTGGGTTTTATAACAAACTGCAGCCTGATGCATGCTTCTTATAAATGACTGTATGACCAGTCTGATACTGAAACTAATGACATGAATGCATGAATGCATAATCTCTTAATCTCCTATACTTTCACATATCTACACTTTAGTAGTGAAAAGTGATTAAGGGATACTCTATCTGATTAATGTGCTTAAAACAAGTTATTTGAAAGAAGAATGTTACTTTAATAATTGTGAAAACTCAAAATCAAAGAGCAGCCTGAAAGTGGCCCGGAGAAAAAAGGGTTTCCATCTTTGCTTTTATACATTTTTATGAGGAAGAAACAGGATTAAAGTTGGGAAAGCAGTAGAAATGTGACATTACATGTAGGAGAAACAGTGAGTTGGTTATTAGAGGGTCTGTGGGAATGTAGAGGGACTGTAAAGGGAGCGCTGCCATTTATCAAAACACACAGAATGCTCCTTATTATCTTTCTCTGACCTCTTTTCTCATGTCTGTTTGTAATTGTTTTTGTCTGGTTGCTGTTTACTTCAAGCAAAGAAGAAGAATAGACTCAAAGTAAACCTCCTCTTGTTACAAAGCTGAGTTAAGGTCCTCCCCAGAGAGTGACACACCCTCACTCACAGAGCTACACTGAGAGGAGGAGCACTGAAACAGGAGAGCTTCAACTTCACAGAAGCGAAAGTGAAAGTTAGTGAGAGCAGAGCTGCGGTCCAGACAGCGTCTCTGTTTCTCTGAAGAAACAACTGAATCCAGCAGCTTCTTCTCGACAACACAGCAGAACCTCTGCAAACACTGGTGAGTACTGCAGAGACACAACGACTCACTAAACACGAGACAAAGAACA